CTTTTACATTCAGCTAGTCTGTACACATGATATAATTACTTACTAATTCTATAATAGCTTAAAATTTTATCTGAAGTCTCCCAATCCTTTACTTTTCCAGATCAGAGATGCGTAATGGAACTGTCTACAGAAATGGTAATATCTACAAATAGATATTTGTACAAATAGATATTTGTCTGATAGGGCAGTCATCAGCCAAAAATAGCAGCATAGTACCCGAAATGTAACTAAGATTAAAATTTTAGATTTAAGTTACTCGAATACCCAACACCTCACTCCTGCTGATATCAGACAGGGTTGTTTTACTCTCTGAGTTGTAAATATGACCTCTATGGAGGCTGGGTTCTGCTCAATAAAATAAACCATTTTTGTATTAAATGCCATCTAATGATCACGTACAATTACATGCTGCACAACCCAGTCCTATGCCAATCTCTTCTTGTAGTAATTGTTCTCAGGCACCAGGGTCTTAAATATTTTTCCTTTAAGAAAGAGTACACTTTGGTTTTGTTTCTCCTTTAAGGCCATACATAAGACCCAAAGAGCACTTAAACAGAAATTTTGTACACTAAAATGTTTTAATATCAACTAGCAATTGTTTTGTGAATTGTAGAATAAAAACCAGGCTGAACAAAATCTTTAGGTTTTGAAGTTAAGAAACTGTAAACTCCACTCACTCACTCAATTAGGTCGTGTTGGTTGAGCTGTCCACTCAAGAGTTTACAACGACTCCTAAATCGCATAACCACAGACTGTCAAGGGTATCTTTCTAGTAAACATTCCACTTGCCACCTCTTACCTGGCTTCACGGAAGCTGGACTTAGGAACTGCCTCTTCACCAACTGCTTGATTTAGCAGGTGTCTATAAAATCCACTGAGATCTTTCTGCTTGGTCACATCCAGTCGTGCTGTGAAGGAAAGCAAAGACAAACTGAGAATATGGATTCAGCGAAGCACAGTGCAGCTGCACTTTACACACGCAGAGCACATATCATACAAAGATGTGTAAACATCCTCTAGTCCAGGAGTCAGGAGTATGCTCTTAGTGCTTAATTGATTTTTCTGTCCACGCACACACCTGTGGTAGTTGGTTCTCTCCTGCCACTGTGTAAGTTCGAGGGATCAAACTCAGGCTCGGTGGCAAGCTCCTTTACCTGCTGAGCCTCCAGATACAACTTCACAGATTAGTTAGTTTTCGTTCACTTAAAGTTGGAGAGCATTTGTAATTAAATTACTGGTAAGTACTCAATTCAATGGCTAAGATATTCCTTAGCTGCCGATTACTAATGATATTCTTTTTCTAACTGCCCAGTTAATGTTCCTTGAGTGGTGTTAAACATTTTCTCATCTCAGAATGTTACTAGAGTTTAAAGTTTATTTATGTTCTGGCAAATGTAATGTTGTTATGCCCTGTAAATGTTTTTACATTGCGAGTATCTAAGACAATGTAATAAAATAAGGACTAAATGAAAAGCCCAACAGGAGTAACAGTGACTTAAAGGCGCAGTCCTGCCTCTACCACCAACACGGACACAGCCCTGCAGTCACAGCAACAACCGGTCTCCCCCACCCCTCACCTTCCAGGGCAGCAGCCTTCTTCTCTCTTTCCTCCTCCTCAGCTCTCTCTTCAAGTTTTTTTTTATAAGCAGATGTCACGAATGCCTCTTTATCATCAAATTCTCCCTTTTCCATCTCTCGCTCTCTCTGTATTTTCTTTTCCATTCTTTTTTCCTGTTCCTTTTTTCTGATCTCCACTGCTTTTAGCAAATTGTGAATGTATTTTGGCTAGGGAAAAATAAAATTATTTCAGAAAGAGGAAAAAATTTACACCCATTAATATAGAAATGTTTAGTCTAAGTAATCTGTCTTTTCAAAACTCAGAATAAATCTGCTAGTGAAACTGCTACTGAGATATTTCCACTAGAAACCTGAGTGTAGCAGAAGGAGCAGTAGCACACACTTGGACTCCTGGCCTGTGGGAGTCAAAGGCAGGCTAGTCACACCAAGTTCAAGGCCAGCTCAGTCTAATACCCAGGTCAAGGCAGGTGATGGCTGGAGAGACCTGCCCAGCCTCAGCTTCCTCACTTCTGGTTTTCTCTTTAGTTTGTTTTACCGAGATAACATATGACACAGTCCGAGCTGATCTCGAACTTGCTACATATCCAAGGATGGCTCTCATCTTCTGACCTTCCCACCTACGTCTCCAATGGCTTATCACCATGCCTGGCTCTAAAGTACTGGGATCTAAAGGGTGTGCCACTGCACCTGGCTACATGACAGTCTTAATTCAACAAATGAATGAATCAGAAAACAAGCCAGGAGCAGTATAAATCTAGTATACAGAATGAGTATAGAAAAATTTTCAAAAAATTATAAGGTTTCAAGGTAAAAAAAAATTCAAAAATTCTGGATAATTCACTTGACATCTGCTAGGATCTAGATTCTAAACATTAAATCTATAGTTTAGAATCAAAAATTCATTTTAATACCTAAATTTTTACTGAAGTCATTTTAAAATAATACCAAACAAACAAACAGGTCAAGACCAACAAAAGTTGTATTTCAGCTACTAACCTTTCGATCTTTCCCCAAAAGCAATTTGGGATTACTTTCTTCCTTTTTTTTCTGCATTTCATCATAAATGCTGTCATACTCATACACAGTGGAATCTTCTGCAAGAGCTTTCTGAATCTCCAGTTTGGTCTTTAAAAGAAGCAGATGTTTAAAAACTATGCACCAGTCAAAAGACACCACTGAAAGTCTTCCTTTTTCACAAAGGCTCATAAGTTAGAGATATATCTTAAAAACCATACCAATCACATTTCACGACAGGAAACACGAATACAAACTCTACAGCAGACCACCTGGGTGAATCCTAGCTCCACTTACTTTGAGAAATTTGTGTGCTTTAATTTCACCTCACCTAAAAAAAAAAATGACTATTATATCTACCTTCTAGTAAGTGTTTACAATAAGCTATGACATTCTGAATTATACATAATTATCCACATCAAAAATTTAAAAAGTCAAAGGCACAAATGAGCAACATGCAGCCTTGGCTTAATTTTTATGTTACATTTAATAAATTAGGTTTCCTAATAAATTGTTTAGTTTTCAAAAGTATGATCATAGGAAATACATTAAAGCTCCTAAAAAAAAAATCCAAAAACAGCATTAAATGGGAGCCATATTACTATTAATTTTTACATTAACAATTATATAATGTCCTCTGCTTTTATCATGTTCCTATCTTTGTTCTTTCTTCTTACAAAATTTCAAAATCTTACCTAGAGGCTGGAAAGATGGTTCAGGGGTTAAGTGCACTGGCTGCTCTTGCAGAGGACCTGGGGTCGATTCCCAGCATATGCCACATGCTGGCTCATAAGCATACATTAACTCTAGTTCAGAAGATCTGATGCTCTCTTCTGGCTTGAGAACATCAGGTATGCAAGTGGTGTACATACATGCACATATACATACAAGTAGGCAAAAAAACTTATAAAATAAATCTTTTTTTTAAATATTTATTTATTTATTATGTATACAAAGGTCTGCCTGCATGTATCCCTGCAGACAGAAGTTGGCACCAGATCCCATTACCGGTGGTTGTGAGCCACATATGGTTGCTGGGAATTGAACTCAGGACCTCTGGAAGAGCAGTCAATGCTCTTAACCACTGAGCCATCTCTCCAGCCCCTATAAAATAAATCTTAAAAAGAAAAAACTTACCTATGAGTTTCAGAGCTACCACGACCCCTGCATCTTAAATGAGGCCATCTCTGAGAAATTTAACTACCAACACTGTATTTCTTTTGAGTCTGATAAACATGTAAACTGCAGTATTCATGTTTTTCTTTTGAGATTTATTTTATGTGTATTTTATGTGTGTTTTGTCTGCATGTATATCTGTGTACTATATGGTTACTAGGAGACCAGAAGACGGAGTCTAATACCCTGGAACAAGAATTAAATGTGGTTGTGAGCCGCCATGAGGGTGCTGGACCTGAACCTGGTCTTCTCCAAGAACAGCCAGTACTTTGATCTGCCTCTGAATGCCTATGTTTAATGTTATCACCTTTTTACTGCTCCATGAATAAAATATGCTATACATACTTATTTTTTCTTGAACTGCTGTACTGACTTGTTTAATACAGATATGAAGAGTGGTTCTTTTTAAGGAAAAGTGATATGATTATTCAAAACAATCTACCTGGTTATCTTCAGGTTTCTTTGCAGTGCTAAGGGTTGAACCCAAGGCCATGTACATGGTAAACAAATCCACTACCACTGAGCTACAGCCTCAGTCTGTCCTAGGTGTCTAAACTAAACCTTCACAGTCTAGAATAATGCACATATAAATGAATAAATTTGACTGGAATATTGTTAAAAATACCAAGAATCCCACATTCTGGATTTCTCAATATTCAGAAAATGAATCACAGTAAACTGCTGCTCCCTCCACAACTAGCTGGGAGAATCCAAAGAGAGAAAAATGCATCTAAGAAATAATATACAGCCATCTCCAAAACCAACAACAAAGCATCTGGAAGTGGTGGCACATGTAATTACAGCACCTGGGAGGTAGAGGCAGGAGGATTAGGAGTTCAAGAACAGGGATGGCTACATAGTGAGCTCCAAGCCAGCCAGGGCTCCAGAATGAGATCCTGTCTCAGAAGACAAAACCAAAACATAAGAATGCTCTGAGGTAAATATGCAGCTTTCAGAAATATCAGACAGGGCATCAACAACAGATTCATGGGCTCATCTAAAAATCTAAGGGGAAGGAAGGGCTGGACGGATGGCCCAGTGGTCAAGGGTATACACTGTTCTTGCAGAAGACCCCAGCTTAGTTCCCAGATCCTACATTTGGCAGCTCACAACCACCTGTGACTCCAGCTCCAGAGGATCCAATGGCCCTGGCTAGTGTAAATACCCAAGGATATGCATATATCCACATAAAGACACCCATAGTTACACATAATTAAAAATAATAAAAACTAAAGCCAGCCAATTAATTTGTCTCTTACAAAGTTTCTGTAGAAATTTAGAAAAAGCTGGCAATAGTAATAATGCCATATTATAAGCCCTAGGACAATGCCAGACATTAAGGTCCCTAAAGTGGCTACAATATTGTAACATTGGGAAACATTTTTGTAGGGTTTTTAATTAAAATTTCACTGTAACTAATTCTAAGAACTTAAAAAGCTGGTAAATTACTTCCAAAAAAACACCAGCAAAAAAGTCTCTGAATAGGAGCTGGTGAGAGGGCTCAGTAACTACGATGACAGGAGCGAGCAGTCCTGAAGCTAGCCTCAGACCTTCACACACAGGCTCATAGCCACCTACAATTTAAAAAATAAATGTAATATTTCTAAACTAAAAAACTAATTAAAACAAAATAAACCTGAAAAAAAGTATCATGAAGCAATGCATAGTGATATAAGCCTATTATCCCCACACTTGGTAGGCGGAGGCAGAAGCATTACAAATTCTAGCCAGTCTAGGTGATAAGACCATATATAAATAAATACACTAAAACAAACAAACACAACGTAGGGCAGGACAAATGGCTCAGCAGCTAAAAGCACTTGATGAGCAAAACTGACCCTCGTGTTCAATCCCTGGAAGCGTGTACAGGAGCAGGAGGTGGTGGCACACATCTATAATCCCAGCACTACTGCAACAGGGTGGGAGGCAGACACAGGAAAGCAGGCCAGAAGCAGTAATGACTAGAAAGCCCATCCAACCAGGCAAGGGAGGACCGACTCCTGACTTCACACATGCATATTCTCTCTCTCTCTCTCTCTCTCTCTCTCTCTCTCTCTCTCTCTCTCACACACACACACACACACACACACACACACAAACACTCACTCACTCACTCACTCACTCACTCACACACAAGCCTTAGAGTAGAAATAAACTTACAAAGTGTACATATTACTAGCTCATTCTGTAAATGCTAGCCATCTTGGCATTAGACTATTTCCAATCTGGGTAATCACACTAAATGCTATTCCCTCATGACAAACAGTACTCTTCCAGTGAAACAGGTAAAATATAAAAATGTCACCATCAGTTCTGGATAATTCATGTCCAAATAAATAAGGACAAGGAAGAAGAAGGACCATTAAAGGATCATCCATTTCCTAGTTCCTATTTGCTTGACAATTTGATAAATGCAACCAAACTTCATGGTAAGCTGGTTTGGATTTAAAGCAGAAGAGGTAAAGGGGGAACAAAGGAAGCAGAGGGATCCCGATGGGAAGGCACAGCAACGGCAGCTGAGCAGGTGCACCTTTAAAAGATACTGAATGCACAGGAAGAAGTGCTTCCGTCACTAGGGTGCTCCCAATAGAATCACTGTTACACAGGACCTGGCTACTCCCCACTTCTTGGCAGATGAATTCGAAGTAATTGTGAAATCACTTTGGCTGTGGCTAGACTTTTTTCTTCTGACAAGTGAGTTCCAAGCAAAATTTAATAAAGAAACAAACCCTAACAACCCATTACCAGATGGCTGCTGAGTCAGTTGGAAGCAAAGGTGGCTTAATCTACAGCCTGGGATAAAGAGCTAACTCTATCTTCCTTTAGAATTCATAAAGTCTGCAATCGTATAAACTGGGAAACACTTTACACATTTTAAGAGATAAAATGACTTCATTACACACATTTGTTCTGTTTAACTTCCAGTAGTAGGTACCAAAACTCTTTCACCCCTACCTGTTTCATGGCCTGCTTCTTAGCAGCTTCCCTCTGAAGGCTTTCACTCACGGAGGTCTGCAAGACAGAAAAATGTCACTGTTTACCTAATTCAAATTTCCTTTCCAGTATTCTGGTTGGCAAAGGGTTCCTTATTTAAGAGTTAAAAATAGAAAGGTAATATTAATTAAATTTATGTTAAGGGACAAATTAACTTCCATTGTAATGCATCAGAACAGGTTCTAAGGCACTAAAAACAAAAACAAAAAAAAGGAGGTTGTGAATTTTGTACACTATACATCTGAAGTGGGTAATACAAAATAATGAGCTATGGACATATATGGGAGTTTGAGGCCAGCCTGGTCTACAAAGTTCAGGACAGCCAGAGCTGTTACACAGAGAAACCCTGCCTCAAAAACAAACAAATAAATAAATAAACATCACCCCCAAAGGACATGCAAATAAATGGCTAACAGGCATATGAAAAGGCACACTCAGCATCACAAATAGCAAGAAAGTGTGAATGAACTGGAGCTACAAGACACTGCCTCATTCCTGTTGAAATAGCTACTATCAACAAGACCAGTGCTACAAGGACTGGGGAACAGAGAGTCCTGTAGTCACTTGGGAAAACAGGGTGGAGGTTTCAGAATGAATCAGAAACAGAACTACAAAGTAACCCAGTAATCCTACTATTGGATATTCAGTCACAGAGAATGGAACCAACATGTTACAACACTATCAGTGTGGTCAAATGTATTAGTCACTGAACCCAAATTTCCCCAGTAAGCAGTACTTTCAATAAAATTTTTGTTTGTCTTATGAAACAGAGTCTCACGACTGTAGCCCTGGCTGTCCTGGATCTTGCCACGTAGACCAGGCTGGCCTTAAATCATACAGATCAGCCTGCCTCTGCCTCCTAAGTGCTGGGATTTAAGGTGTGCAACACTATATCCTATCAGATTATCAATTTAAAACATTTATAGGAACAATATATACTTCCAATGTATTTTATGTCTATCCTTCTAATTAGTGCAAATTAAATGGATTTTTATCTTCCTTTCACAAATCAGAGAAAGCAATAACATACATACAGAAAACAAAACCTTGATATATAGCTACTGCCAACACTTAATTATTAGCCTTAGATAATAAGGAAGAAGTTGAAAATAATGTTCACAAAGCAGCTCAGGGATGTGAGTTCCAGTTTTCACAAATATGTCAAATTCCCCTGCTTCAATATCCCTACCATTTAACAATTCCCACCTCACAATATACACACGACTGGTTCAAAGGGGGAAAAAGACTGGATAAATGTGCTTAAAACTACAAAATATACTCATTAGTTGATTAAAGTAAGATAAAATATAAACATTTGAATCATCCTAAAAGTGAAAAACAAAAACCCATAAAGATACTTAAAAATACATTTTCTGCCAAAAAATTTCAGGGAAAGAAGCCTACGAAACCTGAAACCTTGCAAATGTTTTAATTCACCAACACTTAGCACCTAAGTAAGTAAGTTTCGGTCTATTTTAGTTTCAACTAAAAAAAAAAAATTATTACTTATTCTACAGGTACCCCTCACAAAATTCTAAGGGTTAAAGATAAAAGATGTAGTCAAGTATGGGCATTGTAAATTGCACAAATGAGTCTTTGCACTCCTCATTTATTCTATGAGAATAAAAATGCTCCAACCGACCCAGTGTTTGCTACATTGAATTTAGTGAGATCTAGCCTAAACGGGAGACTTTTTGGGCACCATTTGGCTGAACTGCCTCCTGGGCTGTGGTGATTAACGAGAAGCAGCTCTGCAAATGTTGCTGGCATACTTCACTAAGAGGCTCTGGAACTATCTGAAAAACTTAGATACTAGGTCACTATATTAACTTTTTCTAGTCATAATCTTTAACTGAACCAATGTTTTTCATTTTTATAGAAATTAACCTATCATTAAGTATGGGGGGGAGAGGCATCTATTTCCTTTTTTTTCTGAAACAAGAGTTTACTTATCCACTGCCCAAGATAGCTCTTAAAGAAAAACAGTTCAAGAACCGATGCTTCTTTTCAAATGGCTCATAGCTATGATCTGTTGTGTTGGAAATTTATGAGATCAAAACTCCTTGTTAGTGTGTGTGTGTGTTTTGTTTCACTGTGTAGCTCTGGCTGTCCTGGAACTTGCTCTGTAGACGAGGCTGGCCTTAACCTACCTCTGCCTCCCTAGTGCTGGGTGGGATTAAAGGCGTACACCACCATGTCTGTTTTCCCCTGTTCTTTTAATTTTTAGACCATTTACTCATGGTTCTGTAACTCAGCAGCAATCTGTTATGGGCTTAATTTACTCATATTTATACTAATTAAAAATGCAAAACCTGGGCTGGAGAGATGGTTTAGCGATTAAGAGCATTCGTCTGCTCTTCCAGTGGTCCTGAGTTCAATTCCCAGCAACCACATGGTAGCTCACAACCATCTGTAATGAAACATGGTTCCCTCTGCTGGCCTGTAGGAGGATATGCAGGCAGAACATCGTATACATAATAAATAAAATCTAAAAATTACAAAACCTGCTTAACAGAGGAGTGTGTGATATTTTTATTATGAGCTCAGACTAAAGATAAAACCAATTGTACTTATCTACAGAACACCAAAAGAGGAAAAAATTTGGCTTAATATCTTATTGGGACTTAAAATTGTCATGCTTTTAAGTGCATGAGGAGGTCAAGCACAAAAATTTACTTTGATTTAATACTATAATATTTCAGAAGTTGAGAATTAAGATTTCAACTTAATTTTTAAAATGGTTTTATTATTTTAAACCATCACCTGAGGATTTTGCTGTGTAGAAGACACCACCCTACGTACTAGTGCCAGTAAAGAGACACCTAATAAAACTCTGCTCAAACATGCTTATATCATGAAAATGTTTATATCATGAATATATATATGAGTCACTCCCAATAAATTAAAATTTCAGAAATTATACAATTAAAATTTCAGAAACTGCCTACCTTTGTTGCCAGCCTAGCACTGGAAAGGTATTGGCGGGCAGATCTCTGTGTGTTCAGGGCTAGCTTGGCCTATGGCGTTGAGTCCCAGGCCAAAAAGAACTATATAAGGAAACCCTGTCACAAAAATATGTCGTTTTCCCCACAATATATCAGGAGTGCTTTGATAGGACTAAGGCCATTTCTCACCGAGACGCCAAGAATAGAAACAACAAAAGCCACCCAGCTTTCTCGGAGAGGAGTTTTGTATGAGCTCCTATCCTGTGCAGTTCTGTTTCTTTTGTTCACTGAGTACACAAACTTGACTTTGACCTATTTCTGGCTACACACTCTGGATTCACCTATTTTTGGTTACCTGCTTTCTGTTCTTAAAAATCAATCTTACACTGCAGTACATCTTTATTCTAGACATAACATGAAGTT